ATTTAAGGAAATGAGATCTCTCCTTTGTAGTGGTATTTTAAAAAATTGACGTAAGTTAAAAATTACAATCTTTACCAATTAGTACTTATAAGAACATTTTATTGTAGCATAGCTCTGATGATGGCTTTGTATAGCCGAAAGCGCTCAGCTAGGAATTGCCTAAAATATACACACTTCAAAAATACTTTTTTGCATTTTCTTTCGACTTGTCATAAGTGTGCACAAAAAATATCAGTCTTTTGATATCTTATTTTGTTTATAGGTTGGCCATTTACAGCAATATTATCTTCTGATTAGTCCAAGGCCTCTCTAAAGATGTTTTCAGAGTATATGTTTAATAATTCCGGTGACAATATGCAACCCTGTCTAACTTCTTTTTCGACTGTGAAGATCTCGGACAGTTCATTTTTTAATCGCACTGTTGCTTTTGTCGCACTATTGCTTTGTTAGAGGTATAAGTTTAAGATCAGTCTTATATCCTTACCATCGAGTCCTGATGTTGTTGGTATATCGATTAGTTTTCCATGTGGGACTTTATCAAATGCCATCTCTGGCTCTCTGTATTAGAACCTGCAAACTAAAAAGTGCTTCTCAAAAAAAAATAGCAGTGACTTAAAAAAAAAGAAAAGACTTCTGAACTTTTAAAAAGTATTGTTCGACGGGAACATCCGCGCAGTTCAGTAGTGATCGTTGTATGAAAGAACATTTAAAAAGTACGTGTGTTCCTGACCAAAGATGCTGCTAGTACAACTTTCAGTAAAATAGTTACGTGAGCAACAAGAAGAACGCGATGAAGATTGCAGCGGGTCCAAGAAGATCCTCCAAGAACAACTAAAGAAAGTTCTCAATAAGAATGGAGATGACCCAAAGACATTCCTGTTTTAATCAGCAGAATAAACAGTTTTAACAAAAATGAATAAGAAATTTGAAAATGTCTCGCAAATGATTGAAGAATCTTCTAAAAAAAATTATGATAAATTAAAAAACGTTTCCAAAAGATTTGATGAAACATTTAAAAATGTGTCTAGAAGATTCGACAAGACTTCACAAATTATTAAAGAGGTAGCTAGACAAAATGATAAGAAATTCGAAAATTTGTCTAGAAGATTCGACGAGACTTTTCAGATAATTAAAGAAGTATGTAATCAAATCAATGAGAAATTTGAAGAAGTCTTAAGAACATTCGATAACATACAGAAAAATGTAAACAACGTAGAAGAACATATCAAACATTTAAAAGTGAAACTGGAACAAACCATGAAGTGGAGTGGAGATATCCAGGAGTGGCTAGTATACCTGTTGAATACAAAGCACGTGGTGTTCGTGTGTATTAAGGTATAAAAACGCTTATTAAAAGCTTAAAATTTTTTATTATAAAGAAGATCTTTTCGGAATTGTATCATTCCATCATCAGTTTAATAAAAAAGGTTGTTAAAAAACATTGTGTGGCCACATAAAAAACGTTCGGTGGACATCTGGATTTAAAAAATAATATTCTTCGTGTTATTTATTCAGGTAAATGCAATAGACTCTTGACTTGTGTAATATAAAAAATGAAACTGGGGGCATCTTATATGACCCCCTGTAGTTGGTGAAGTTTTATTGACTTACATTACCTCGGATCTGTGTTGGAGTCTAGGGCTAACTAGCTAGCTAAAGATATTACCGAACTATAAACTTATAAATAAATATATTTATATAGATTCGAACCGCTCGTTTTATTTAAAAACGGTACACTAATTAATCTATGTTCTTCACATTTTCTCGCGTTGGCTTTTTAGGAAGTATAATGAATATTGATAGTAGCCAGTCCTTTGGTAAGTAACCAGTCTCGTAGATGTTGTTGAATAGCTTCGTAAAAGCTGCACCTCATCAGCTCCTGATGAGGGGCAGCTGTGATTTCCAATCTTTAATCCGCTTAATGGCCATAGTTACTTCTTCGTTTGTTATTTCTGGGCCGTAGGGGTTGCTTATTTCAGTCGGACTTTGTGCTGCATCTTCGAATAATTCTTGCATATATTCTTTCCATCTTCGTAATTTATCTTCAATGGTAGTCAAAATTTGACCTTCAATGTCTACAACTATGCCTGTAATGGGTTTTTAAGCCTGTATGCAACTTTTTGTATTCGTTGTCATTTCTATCTTTTAATTTTCTTCGACCTTTCATCATCTACAATATTTTATCTGTCATCCATTCTTGCTTCTTTTCTCTTTTTGATTTTAGATATTCATGCGAAATTGTGGTAATAGATGTCTTCATTTCGTTCCACTGTTCTTCTATGCCTCTAGTAGTATCTTTAACTATTTTCGCAAAATTCTTATTAATTTCTGTTTTTACTTTTATCTGGATGTCATTTTCTTTTAGTAGTCCTTTATCTATCTTGGGCCTCATTTTCTTATGAATTATTTTAAGTCGTATGTTGATATTTGCAACCAATAGACTATGATCTGAGAAGACATCTGCGCCTGGATATGTTTTTGTTGAGGTTATAGAATTTCTAAACCTTTTGTTTATGTTGATAAAATCAATTTGCTTTCTTATGATTTTTCCGGGGGTATTACCGGTGCTTTCCATATATAAAGTCTTCTTGAATGTCATATAAAAAGTGTATTTGTTACAACCATGTCTGTCCCTTGTCAGAATTTGACTAGTCTTTCTTTTCTTTCGTTTTATTTGCCAAGATCATATGGCCCCACTACATTCTCGACTGTACCTTGTTCTATTTTGGCATTGAAATCGCCCATGATATTAGTAAGTTCATGTGTTTTGGTCAGTTTTAGAGAATATTTTAGAGTCTGATAGAAATTTTCTATTTCTTCCTCTATGGATTCTGATGTCGGTGCGTAAACTTGATGTATATATTAGAAGGAACTTGAGTTAAACACAACTCTGTCTGATATGGGTGTAAATCCTATTAATGTTTTAGCTATTTTTTTTATTATTATCGCTAAGCCATTTCTGTTTCTTGTTGTGTCGTCTCCAGAATAATAGGTATGGTATTTATCTATAATTACTATTCCAGAATTTGGCCATCGAACTTCACTGCATCCTAAAATATCTATGTTCAGGCGAGTCATTTCTTGAATAGTACTTGCTGCTTTGCTGCTTGGTATGCTTCGAATGTTCCACGTACCGATCCTTGTACCTTTTGGCATATTATTGGCTGACCGGATGATTCGTAGCACCATCTCCGCACTTAAGGGGTGCCCGGGACTAAGGGCCGTTTGTTTTGCATTTTCAGCCATTGTGGTGTACTGGGGATATCTTTACGGATATTTAATGTGGTAGTCATCCCGTGGCTTTCCACATCTCAATGACGTTGGCTAATTTAGTTCTTTTGCCTTTGAAGTAAATTTCTTAGCTCCATGGCAATGAAGTGCCCTACCACATGTAAATTCTTGCACCCGTAGCTGTTGACCAACAAAAATGGGATTACTTTTACTTGTAATTGTTTGGTTATTTCGCAGTATCACAACCGGTAAAATCATAATTATTGCCTGTGATTATTTAGTATTATATCGGTAAAGAGATTTTTCCCTATAGCTCCATCCTGTAATCACATAGTTGTTGCTTTACGTCATGCTCTCAGTTGATCCGCGGGTGTTTATTTGGCAAAGCCTTATTCACACCTGTCCCACATATCTGTAGGGCGTTCCCTAGCAGCCATTGGGACGCGCCGTGTTGAGATTGAGAACTACCTCCTCCGATTGTGTTTTCCAAGAAGTATTGAAGAGCCCCTACTCAATTTAGAACCCCTCCATCTTGGAAATTACACCGGCACGGATTTCATCTGTAGTCAAAATTTTTCAAAAATTTCACATTTAATTCAGTCAGACGGGTGAGAATTTTTTACTAGAAATATGTGCTGTCGTATGTTTAGTGTGGCGTACTAAATTAAATTAACTTTGATCAAATAAAAGGCAAATATCGAGAACAGTTTAATCAATGTAATCTTGCCCAAGTACTTTCGCTCCCTACAGCATCTTCAGGGGCATTTGGTCAATTGTGGCCTATCCGACAAGAATAAAATGTTATAAACATAAAATGGTACATCACAATACACTACACAAGGACAAACCAACACTTTAAAATTTAAAAAAAAAATAGGCGAAGCTACATTGTATACAGAAGCCGAAGTAGGAAACGAAATTGAAACAACATGACTCAGTAGGAAAGATTATTCACCAACAACTAGCACAAAAACTGTACTTCTCCAAACTAACCATCTTCCTTATTATCAATCGTCCCTGGCAGAATGCTTGAAAATGAGAACTACAAGCTATATTGGGACCGCACTGTGCTTAAACACCAACCAGTGGCACATAATAGAGCCGATCTCATACTAGTTAACAAACTTACTAGGCAAACAACACTTATTAATGTAGCGATACCCAACACCAATAATTTACTTGTTAAATATAACGATAAGATCACCATGTACAGAGATCTAGAAATACAAATAAGGCAACAATGGAAAATAAAAAGTGCCCAGACAGTACCTATTATTCTAACTACTACTGGTGATATTCCCAAAAATCTCCTAGAGAATATAAAATAGCTGGGTCTAAATGAACATTTCTATAAGGCCATGCAGAAAGCTGTACTCCTCGCAACGTCCAGATGTGTACGAAAATTTTTGGGAGATACTCCAACATACCAAGTCACCTAGGGCTCGATAACAGGGAAAAAGTCCCACCAGAGCTCAATCCTTTTGATACCTTAGGTATCTGGGTTGAGTGAATTTTTCCCTTAGAGGGAGTGTGAGCTGTATGGCTAAATCTGGATAATTATTAAAATTAATACTATTTTTCTATGTGAGGCATTAAGTACCGCAGTGTATCCACTCATGTAACTTTAATAGACGTGGCTGAGGGAGGGTTAATATTTAGGCTTTTTTAATAACACTATTAAAAACAAATAGTGCTCCTACTATGTCCACACCTTAAGAATGCCACTGCCGTGTTATTAATGTCTAAAACAGAAATAGTCAATCAAGCATCAATTTAAGATTATATTATAATTCATAACGGTTATTAAAAAATAATTTACAGTTGTATTTAAATATTCTATTATTTACAAAATATTGTGAGCATTAGTTACTCAAAGAAACCTAAATATTTTTGCATACACTTAACAAAATTAAGCGCAACCTCTTTTACACTATTTCCGTTTCGTGTTCCACAATCGTCGATTACGATTTTCGCTTTAGAATATCCTAGACGCCTTTCTAATTTAGGCCGTAAGTTATCAGTAAAGATATCACCGTTTTCGTTCATAACACCGGCTTGAAGGTTCATGCAAAGGGCAATCTGGCCAGCTTCTTCCACATTGAGCTTCTCACCACTTCTTATTTTCTTTACTAGGTTTACTGGCCCGTCAGTACCTTGACATGCTTGGACTATACTACTAGCCTTGAGATGTTGAGCTACATCAGCTAAAACCTAAAAATATATTGTGTGTTATTAAAAAAGAATATGTAAGTGCATAATTTGAATAACAATTATTGAAATTGTCACTGGAGTCAAAAAATATTTAAGAAGAAAAAGCGATTAGATACAAAAAATTATGGTAACCAAATATAATTTAGTGCCTTCGCTTCCTTGATAACTTCGTTGACCTAGATCTGTATTTTAAGTTTTATGTTTAGTATGTTTTTATTAATTACCACTAGATGTTTTTAAAATATATCAATAAAACAAAAACTTCCACAAAACTTATAACATCTTATCACAACAGTTGTTTCGGCAACTTTTTCAAGTGATCTATTTATGGTATGTGTTTACACTTTATAGTCTTTAACGAAATAGGTTGAGAACGGAAAATACTAAATATCATGAACCCATAGCCTCCTAAATTATATTCTTTTATTAAAATACACACAAACCGTATTACCTAATAAAACTTTTTTTCTACAGCTCCGTTATATAAACTTTCAAAAAAATCGTTAGAATTAGAATTAGAATTCCTCCTACAGAAACTTTGGTTCTAGTAAAAAACCTTTTAGATCATAATATTACAAATTCAATCATTACATCTGAAATTTTACTTCTTCTTGAAATTTGCGCAAACCAGGACTACTTTGAATTTAATAATCAAACATATACAAATAACAGTGCAGAACTTCTCCAGGGTAATTCTGTAAGCCAATTGGTATCAGATATTTTTATGGATCATCTATAGATAAAGATTTTAAAACATCCAGTAATCAAACAGTTTTTATATTAGTGGAGATATGTAGACCACCGTATGAGTACTGGTATTATTTACAGAAACTAACAGGCAACTTGACCAATTTTTATCGTGTATTAATTTACACTCCATCATCCTTCATCATCCCATCCTACACAACATAAACTGGCAGTCTATCAGAGCATAATACATAGATTAACAGAAGTTCTGATTTTAAAATACAACTTTGAGACATACTTAAATATCATTAAGCAAATAGCAGTAAAGAATGGGTACAACAAACAAACAATTAATAAAATTTTAAATCACAAACTACACAAGAAAGCCTTGAAATTAGTATTTTCACCACCAGAGATAAACTCAGTACCTTCTGCTGAATTCCATATACAGATAAAACATTAATAACAATAGTCAAACACATAAAAGAAAGGAATAACACCAGCTTTTAAAATAAAAAACAACTTGGGCAAATATATTAAAAGCAACCAGAGCCAAAATAAAAAACACTTACACAGTGGTGTATACAAACTTAAATGTGTCGACTGTCCAAGAACTTATATCGGTCAAACTGGTAGATCTTTCAACGAACATATAGCAGAACATTAAAGGGCTTTCAGTAATAGAAAAACAGATTCTACATACGCATTTCACCTTTTAGATCATAATCATTCTTTTAAAGACGAATTCCAAATTCTTTATATCCAACATAAAGGCTTAATCTCTCTTTATTAGAATCTATGGTAACAAACAATTTAAAAAACACAAACGTAATTCTGAATAACCAACTTGAGACAAACAGTTCTCGTCTCCTTAACCTATTTCGTTAAAGACTATAAAGTGTAAGCATATACCAAAAATAGATCACTTGAGAAAGAAACTCTGCCGAAACAGCTGTGGTGATAAGATTTTATGATAAATTTTTGGAAGCTATGAAAACAAGTTTTCAGTGTTTTATTGATATATAAAATAAATGTTCATCAAGTAACGGTCGAATCCATCACTTGGTTTTAAAATACTTGTTTTCTCTACGATGAACTAGACTATCGACTTTATATTTGCTAAAATCTAGTTTAGTTTTTATGAACAAAAATTACTGATAAGCGATTCATTTTTGACGTATGAGACCCTGATGAAGAAGTGGAAGAACTAATTAGCGCAGCATGTCAAATGTCCCTCCCAATTAAAAGTTTTACTCCTATAGAAGTTAGGAAAGAAATAAACAAACTCAATTCACGAAAGGCCCCAGGTTATGATTTAATCTCGGCACAAGTACTAAAACAACTTCCTCGTAAGGCCATAACTTTGCTAACAGTTATATTTAACCGCATGCTAAGCTTATCATACTTTCCAAAAATATGGAAATTTGCTGAAGTCATTATGATCCTCAAGCCAGGAAAAGAGCCCAATGAAGTAACATCTTATCGACCTATCAGCCTGCTCCCAACCGTAAGCAAAGTTTTTGAAAGATTGCTACTTCAAAGAATATACGCAGATCATGAATTCCTTACATTACTTCCAAAACATCAGTTTGGTTTTCGGGAAAATCACTCCACTACCCAACAAGTTCATCGAATGATAAATGAAATATCAAAAAGTCTTGAAGAAAAGAAATACTGCAATGCTGTATTTCTAGACATCTCACAAGCGTTTGACAAAGTTTGGCACAGAGGTCTGCTTTACAAAGTAAAAATAGCACTATCCAGTAACTATTTCCTCCTACTTAAATCCTACATATCAAATAGATATTTCTCTGTAAAATTCAAAGACCAACAATCCAACCTCTGTCCTATCAACTCCGGAGTCCCGCAGGGTAGTGTTCTAGGGCCGCTGCTTTTCTCACTCTACACAGCCGATATACCAGAGACCAATAATACTACAATCGCTTCTTTTGCTGACGACGTAGCAATACTAGCCGTAAATGAAGATCCCATACAAGCCTCACAAAACCTGCAACATCATCTGAACATACTCAGTGACTGGTATACAAAATGGAGAACAAAAGTAAATAAAACAAAATCAACTCAAATAACATTTACCAACCGTCACAATATATGCCCACCTGTAAGGATGGAAAATACAAGAATACCAACAGTAACAGACGCTAAATACCTTGGCCTCCATCTTGACCAACGACTCACTTGGAAGAAACATATCCAGACCAAAAGAAAGCAGCTCGACTTAAAATTCCGACAAATGTATTGGCTTTTTGGACGTAAATCAAAACTTAACATCCAAAACAAAATTCTTCTATACAAAGCCATACTCAAACCTATCTGGTTCTACGGACTACACCTATGGGGCTGTGCAAAACCAACGTCGCTGAATATTATCCAAAGATTCCAGTCTAAAGTACTAAGATCGATAGTGGATGCGCCATGGTACGTAAGTAACCAAACACTCCATAATGACTTAGAGGTTCCTTTCATCAGAGAAGAAATTCATCGAGCCACGGAGTCACAAAATGAACGTACCATTCACCACGAAAATGAGCTAGTAAGGGAACTATACAACAATGGACCAGCCACAAGAAGATTACATGGAACCTGGCCTCAAGACCTTCTTCAGAACTAAACCAAAGTAGAATAAGGTGAGACATCATCGGATGTCTCCCCTTCACGCGCAAAACCTGTAATCACATTTACTTAATACTCTTTTTTTGATGTAGATTGTAAATAAACATAATTATAAAAAAAAAAAAAAAAAAAAAAAAAATTTTGACGTATATGTTACATCAATATTAATAAGGCAAATCTCAACTTTAGATTAAGTATAATTGTCAATTGCTTCTTTGGTGGTGTCATATTCTACTAGTATGGCAGTGTCATCTACAAAAATGCATCTACAGCAGGTACAAAGTAAATAATTATATTTTTTCAACTAGATGGAATTAAAAATAAAACAAAGTTTTATAAAATGAAACAAAAAAACTTCTAACAAATATCCAAACAAAGCAGAACTACTATATCAAATAAAAACAATAAAAAAATAATGAAAAATTAATAAAATCGCATACATAAATATATAAATGAATAAAGCTATAGACGGAATACCAAAAAACCTTACAGAAACTGTAAACGTAGCAAAGGTCTATGCTAAACTTCTATTGTTTTGGTTAGGAACATATCTGTAGGGGAAAGGATGAAGTAGATGGTTCGATAAATTAAAAGTAAATAAGTATTTGAAAAATTATGATCTCACCTTCCTACATTTGGTAGATAAAAAATAAATTAAACCTCGAAGGACCAGCGACCCATAGGTCGCAAACTTGCGGATATGTAATTATGTAGTGAGTAGTAAAATAGAAAATGAAATAATTAAAATAAGAATAAAAGCTAAAAATATTTTTATTACATTATTTACAAAAATAAATAAAAAAGCGGAATCGCCAACAAATCACCCTTTTTATAATAATAAAATATAAATGTTTATGTACAATGTTCTTAAAAGCACAACTGTCTATATGAAAATATAGAACAATAAAGTTTATATGTAGATTATTGAATATCCGGCAACCTTGTAATTTGTCGGGCCGGCATTCATGAAAAGTTGGCACGAAACCGTAGATTCTTCTGTATGAAAAAATTATTTCAGGATACATATTTGATGTTTCTATTTGAGAAACTGAAAAAATGAATTGACTTACGTCCTTCTATTTGAGAAAGCAGAAACGAAGTGATATTAAGGGTAGTTGATTTGAATAGATTAATGTAAAATTCTGACAGGCGCAGAAGATACGAAACAGTACGAAGAAGGGATGTCGTGCTGATCGTATAGACTTTAATACAATAGATACAAAGTTAACCAAATGATGACTATTTAACTTTGTATCGAGACCTGAGGATGCTTTGCATATTGTAGAAAGCGAAACCGGTCATCTGATAGTTAAATTAAATTGATTGTGAGTAAGTCTTATTTATTATTTCTTTACCTATTTGAAATGGACTCACACAAGCAACACATTCATGATTTGACTAACGTTTTAGTTTTAGAAACATTTCGCTATGGTGAACTACCGCATTATTAAAAAATGATAATAACGAAATACTTATAGGTACAAAAGACAAACTAGAGAGATGGAGAGAATACATACAAACTCTTTTTGACGGCGATAGATCTTGTTCTCTACCATCCACAAATAATCGAATAAATAAAAAAAGGACCGGAAATAATCAAAGAAGAAGTGATTCACGCAGTAAAATCTCAGAAAGATGGAAAAGCCACCGGTCCAAACAATATCAGTGTAGAAATACCA